AAAAAAAACTGTTAGCATCCAGAAAGAGTACATCACATCCCCTAGCTGAAGAGTGAATGTCAGCACCCCCCTGGCACATACCACTCGTCAGTGAAGTCCAGTTTGATGGTGCTGGTTGTGGTACCCTCCGTGCTGTAGTGCAAGCTCAGAACTGGCTCCGCTGTCCCACTGCGGGGACTGGCACCTTCTGTACTACCTGAAACAGTTCCAGAGTAGGCAAGAGGGAAAATCAAAGCATGAGACTCTGACCTCATCCCTTCTGACATGTTACTATAGCCATTTAAAAAAAAAAACACAAAATAGATTAAGTGTAAGTAAGGAGTACGCCCAAATGAGCCATAAACAAAGTACTGAAAAAAGTAATAAAGCAATAAAGGCAATTATGGCAGAACTGCAAACCTTAAAAGCAATTTTATTCTGTGATTTTTGATAATACCTTCGACATATTAAGAATGGATTATCATACCATGCAGTTTGAGTCTCACCATAAAAATTTCAGTGACAACAGGAAAAAACACTGGAAAATCAGGTTTTTAACACTACCCTGATATATCTGGAATACAGTTCTTTATGTATACACTAATTACAGAAGACTTCCCAGTTACCACCTATAATATTTGTACTTTTAGGCCAGCAGAGCACAGTAGCTTTTGAAAAAAGATAAAATCTCACAATGAAACTGGATAACATTACTTTCGCCAGTTTCTCATCGGCTTATGGCCCATTTAAAAGTAAACCTTGCAATGTCACTTTAAGCGAAATCCATTCAAAAAACAGGCAGCTAAACTTCCCAATATTAAAATAAGAAAGTAGACATGGCTCTCAACAAGCACCTTTGAGGTAAATGTGTTCATTTTCAGAAAAAGCAGGTTCTTGCTCTCAGTACAGGTCATTTTTAAGCTTTCTAAGCAGGCTGCTTCAATATTAAGAATGCTTGATCAATTAATTGTTGAAGCAATAGCAGAGACTAAACTATACATGCTGATTCACCATCAGAAGAGTGGGCTCATTATAACTGTAACTTTTTGCCAAGATCCACTTCCTTTTCAGGTATGTCATTATTAATCTATCTTTAATCTTTATTAAGATTATTATTAATCTTCACTTTGAGTATCACTCGATATTTTACACACCACCAAATTTGCACATATACACACATGCACACATTTCAGAGGTAGGCATGCAGTGCGTGACACGGCAGATTAAAAAGAGTTAACCGACAAGCATTTAACTACAAAAATTATAAATATAAAGGCAAAAAAGCAAAACTGATAGGACAGTATACAGCACTTACAAATCAGCACCATATTCTGTACTAAGTTATTCCCACATTTACACTCAAGTCAATGTCTCACACATTGAAGATAAAACTGAAGGAATCCAAGCCTAGTATACAGCACTTTCAGCTTTCAATTTGCACTTTCAGCTTTATCTACACTTCAAATACATATTTAGAAGTCATATCAGTTCAAAGGGGGGAAAAACTTCAGCAGCTATTGTTTTCAAAAAGAAATAGATGATCTCTTCAAAGCTTTGAACTGATGCGAGAAGAAAAAGAAGCAAAGCAGAATGAAAATGGTAAAATAAATCAAATGATGAGAGAAAGGTTATGCACAGCTTTACAGTAAGACAGAAGCAGCTCAAAGACACTGATGACCGCTCAGTCAAGACAAAAAACAGGCCTATCTGGCTAGCCTCTCTTTAGAGGGCTTCTTGTTCCAAACTAATCCTATCCTTTAGGGCTTACACAGTTTTCACCACATGGATGGACAAGCGCTTGGACTTATGTACGTTTTCATATCAAAAGGCAACGTCAAGAGACATAAAACTGGGATACCTTAACATTAAATGGTATTTGAAAAGTCAAAACTTGATGGGGCATGGATACATTTCAAATGGATAAGAAAAGATAGTAATTAATGTTGACAGCACAAATGGGATGTAAGTGAAAGACCTTTATTAAATGCAGACAGGTGAAAAGGAATAGAAGGTTTTGCACAAAGGTTGGACTAATTATTAAAACGGAACAGTTATTGCTAGGTGAAAATTAATCACAAGGAGCATAACTCAAGGTGTGAAATACACACTTTTAAACAAACCCACCCCCCATAAAATACAGGAGTTATTTGTGCAGAAACACAAGGTATAAGAATACCTAAACCTCCCCTAGGCGTTTTCAATTTAAACGTTTGCAGGGATTTTAAAATGAGGACTGCAGAAATATGCTAGTTTTCTTTTGCAAGAGAAAAAAGGACAAACATTTCTGTAGTTATGTCTACAAAATATGTTGAATCATTACAAATCCCCTGCTCTATCTTATGCCAGTGTATGCCAAGATAATAAACATCACATTAGATGGCAAGACTGGTAAAACCAGGAGTTTTTTTTAAATAATTTATTCTTTAGTATTTGTAGCACTCCATCATTACCTGGGTATTATAATCATCTCCAAAATCATTTCCATTCTGCTTTTCATCTGGGTAACAGTGGGGAGGTGGGGTAATAGGAGACAGAGACGTCATGATTTCAACCAAAAATAAAAATAAGATGAAGCTAGGTCATGCAGTGTTCTGTGAGTTTTATGTATGCAACTAAACGAAATGCAGGAAACAGGCACATTTACTTGCATGAAATGGGGTAAAGAGAAAAGGCTTAGCAAAATGTAAGCAGAGATGTGACGAGCTCGCCATATCTCTGGGCTGAACGCACCCTGTTGCTCATCGAGAGACATGGATCCAAGCTGTTTGTTAACCACGGAGGAGGGGGAATCTGTAACAAAAATGAGACTTTAACTAAAAATTAAAATACAAAAAGTGAAGAAAAAAAATCTAATGGAAGCAGCAAAAACTTGCAATGAAAGTCGAGCCATGAATGGTGTAAAGCAGCCATGTACTATAAATCCTGAAAAAACACAAAAGGTTATTATTTAACTGTCTTGTGGAGTCAATACTTAAAACTCTGATGTGCAGTGTACCCTTCTGAATCATGATCCTAAATAAAAAGCTAGCAGCTCAACTTTAATAATATTAGGTTCAATAGACAAGTCGATCTGAACAAAAGACAAACGTCTTTAACCAAGTGTGGTTGTTTAACCACACTTTGTCATCTTTCTTTGTTTTCAACCTTGAAAGATCTACTACTTATGGTTCCAATGTTATTGTGCCCCAGTCTGCATCAATACAATGACCCATAACCCAAGTATAAAGGCACAAACGGCAAAGCTGTTACCCGTGATGAAAGCTTTGATCAGCAAAACTGGTGTTTCCCAAGCCTGACTCTTTCCAAGCCAGCTCAGCCAACAGTTTAAAGCGTCCTGCCTCAGCTAAGCAGTGGTGTAGCCTTGTTTCCACCTGTATTCTGATAGCGCTGGCACCCACACAAAAGCTTCATTAAAACTGACTCTGTGAGGGTTTATTTCTTGCATTGTAAATGCATTCCTTTTTTGCATTTACAAATTCTATTAAAAAATAAACTAAAAACTCATCCATCAGTGATGAAGATAAATAAAAAAGAATTAAAAATCAATTATGTCAATGCTTGAAGTCCATAACTTAATAGAAACAGTGTATCTTGGAATGTGTTCAAACTATATATTCAATAATGTCACAAAATATGGTAATGTTTTTGAAAACTGGTGTGCTGGTTCTATTTTAATAGGTACAAGCTAAATTAATATATATATATATCCTATCAGCACCTGAAAAATAGTTAACTTTAGCTAAGGAAAAGAACAGCTAGCATGATTTTAGCACAGTCCTACCAAAGGGATTTGTTGCACACTCAAGCACATTGCAATAACCAGCATCAGACAACTACAGGAGGAAGATAAGGTGTTATAATGTGTAATACAGCCAAACCATTGTTAAGTCATGTAAGTTGGGACCACAATGTCTATTACACACTTTCGCAAAGCGTGACACAATCATAAGCTGGATCTCATATGACTAATGCATGTCACATCTCAACAACATTGCCGCAAATACAAAACACACATAGACTACGATGAAAGTGCAAGCAAACAGAATCTCCCTCCGATGAAGAAATACTAAAACAATAATTTGAATTACTCTTGAGAATTGGTGGGCCTGTTCAGACGTTCACAGATCCGTGTCAAAAAGAAGAGCTGTACATAGAAACTGATCGCCAACACCATAGCAATCTGACTCATGTAACTCCCTACACAGGGGACAGTATCAATTCAGTACACGATCACACCAAGCAGACTTTCAGTCAGAAATTAAACATATTTATACACAGAAAATTGCAGTGAATACTAAAAAGACAACAAACAAAGATATTATTAAATAATTATTTTGTTGAGTTTGAGTTATGAATAACAAAGCTGGTCAAACTGCCTATTAAATAGTTGGGGATGAAGTTATCTAGATGTTTCCTTCTATAGTCCTTAAAGTAGGAATCTTTTGATGCAGCACTGTCTTCTGCAGAGTGTACAGACGTTGTGCACAGTCTACAATCTACAAAAATCTACATTTGATAGTAGTGTGCCCATCATATTGAATAGAATGATCAGAGCTATAATTAGACATCAAATCAGAGGAAGCTAATAAAAACATGTCAAAGCAACTGATGGCAAAGAACAGCAAAGTTCTCCGTGATCCTTCAACCTGCTACTCAGTAACACCTTAGTAATTAACTTCGTAGGCCAAAAAGAGATCTGGTTTTACAGGAAGCTTAGATTACACTCAGACAGCCATCAGTCATGTTAGTTTACACATACTGTAGCTTCTCACCAGGCTAAATGCATTTTAACCCTTCAGAACCTACTTCTCATTTCATAAATTAAGTCTCAACACTGTGGCTAAAATTATACAGAAAGTCCTCTATGTACTCCTATGTAATCAGACTAAACACAAAAGTGTTTCCCCTTTTATATGTATTTTTATTAAGCATTTCTACCAATAAATGCTTTATTTACACTGTCATTAAAACTCAAATTATGGTACAGCCCTTTTAACTATCCTAAAGTTAAACCAAGGACCTGGTTAAAAGTAAATGCTCAGTAAATTCAAAATTCTTTAAAAGAAGTTAATCTGAAAGCTGAAGTGCAGAGTTGCTTCCTTTAAAACTGGAACTGCAGCTCAGACTTAATCTGTTATTTATTTTATTCCCTGAAATTTAGCAAGCAAACAGGAGAATTGGGATTGAACACATCTGAAAACGCTATCTGCTTAGCAAATACATTTTTTGTTAAAATATTTCATTATACACCTCAAACAAGCACTTTCTTTAATTTGGTTGACACTTTCATCCAAAGTAACTTACATTTGTACCTATTAAAATAGCAAGCGCTTTAAATAAGACAATCTCCTTAATCAAAGTTTCATCAGCAATGTCCTACCCCAGATTGGAACCCACAACTTTCTAATGAAGAATCTACAGACCAGAGAAAGTTAGCTAGGAAATTTAGAATTCAATGTCTACAGGGCACAGACATTCTCTTCACTAGCCAGCAAGACAAAAGAAAATCAAGACCATATCTGAAAGTCTCCAAACAGATGTAACACAATTTGACTGAATTCAGATTTTCTCTCCTGGAATATAATATATATTATAATACAGAGAAACCAATGACCTTAACACATAACTTTCACATGGTTTGACAGTAATGTCAGAAATTAGATTTCCAGGTATGGAGGGATTCCATCCCACAGAAAGGCCAACCCTGTTGTCCTTGTATAGTAATATATATATATAATTACTGGGATTGAACATAATGCAAAACAAGATTACACAAATATCAATATAAAATGATCGAAACATTTCTGTTACTATATGTTGACCACTGTACATTATCGAACTCTGAATGAGGGGAAAAAAAACAGCTGGATGCCTCAGACAATTCCATCTTTTGATTCTTATAAGGAAAGAAGCGGCGAAAGAAAACATCCCAACAGAGGGCGCTGTTTACACAAACTTCTATCTGCTTACTTGAAAGTTTAGGAAATAATTCTTGAACGGTTTACTTCAGCTGAAGAGAACACGGTAGCTTGAGGCAGAATGTATACTGAATTATTATCATTTCTGCCATGATGGTAAGAAATAGATCATTGCACTTTAGAGAAAGCTCAGACAAAGGGACAGGGGTTTACCTCTATGTAGCTAATAAAGTATTTCCTAATTCTCTAAAGATACTATATTACAATAGCTTTTTAGACTGATTTTAGGGTATATACCAATGAATTAATCAGACTGGGATAAGATCTAACTCAAAAGCCAAGAGTCAAAAGGTAAAAAAAGACAAATGTAGCATCTGCCCTTCCTTACTTCACATTAAGTGGTAAGCAGGCAATGGATCATCAGGTATATCTTGCTTTAATCACATTCTACAAAAATTAAACAATTTTTCCTAAGATAAAAATATAGAACATTGTAAGAAATTTGTATAAGACAAATATTATAAAATTGTAACAATGCCAGAGAAATAAAACCGATCAATAAATTAAAAATCTCCACGATTTCAGATAAAGAAAGACCAGAAGCACTATAGCTGTATATAAATAAAAATCTCAAAGGTCATGTTAACACTCATGGGGCCTGAAGCAACACATACATTTAGCAATTTACACTGATTGTAGTGTGGACTTCAGTCTTCTTCTACTGCAATGTCCTTTAAAATACCCCCCCCCCAAAAATTGAAAAAGAAACGTGGTGAGGTTATTTTTTCCTGTGGATATTATGCAGAAAAAAAAACCTCCTGTAGCAAAAGATGAGTCACGCGCTTCGCCTGCCTGACAGAAACTTAATGATTAATGACATGGTGCAGGAAGAGTAGAACATTTCGTGGCCAAAACAATTTCTATGCCTCTCCTTTTTTTTGCGAATTGTAAAAGAATTATCAAGCCCAGCAGATCGCCCTAGATGCTGTGTAAGTACACAGTTAATATCAAATGCTCAAGGTATTAAGTGAGTGGCTGTCAAAAGCATGGCAGAAGCAGCTTTGGGGCCGTCCAGTATGTGCAGCACACGAGGAAGCCTTTTCCGATTGTTAAGCGGCCAGTAAAGATGTTAGGAAGGCCTGGCAGGTGCTTGAGCAGTTCTTTCAGAGAGGAGGTAACCTGCTGGGGGGGTGGTCAGTGCTGCCCCCCTGGTGGAGGATCGCTCAGGGTGGGGCCGGGGGGGCGGTCTCTCGTCCCGTCCCGGGTGGTCAGCCATCAGAAGCAGCCGCTGCAAACGCCTACACACTACACTTACCGGCACCCCGCGACGCCTGGGCTCTGACAGGGCAGAAAATAGAGGCAGAGGGAGACACCGTGAGAAGTGAAAAGGAAAGAATGTGCAGCTGCTGCTTTGGTGGGGGGTTGGGCTCCTCTAGGGGAAGGCTGTTCAACCTTGGACTCCAAATATTATACTACTGACACCCACTTCAGCTCCAGGAGCAAAAGCGAAAAAACGCAGTAGCCCATTTACAAATAAAAAGGAAATGACGAGATATGTGGGAAATAGCGAAGCCTGGGATAACGAACCCACTCTTTCTCCAGGGAATTCAACGAGAGATACGGTACAGTAAAGCAGATCAATGTATTTCTGCCACGACATTCTTCGGTGGTCGTTGTGCTTTTCCACAAGGCTCCGACTGCCCGCCATCCATACCCAACAACAACCTGCCCTTCTTAAATTGGCAATATCTGTGGGACGAGGAATTTTAAATTTCTTGGCTGTAAAAATAATATTCTCCTAGCCAGGGCCGCCTTTGACAAAAAGCCCAGAAGTCTAGTTTTATGTAACATTTCAAGCTGGGGCATTTCAGTGACAACAGAACAGGGGAGACGGTGTGACCGCCCCGGCGGTGAGGTGCGCTCGCAGCCTGCGTGGCGGGTGAAGCGAGGGTCTCGGCCTTACCAGACTGAGCCGGCTCAGGCTGCGGGGGAGTGGCGGCGGCAGCGGCGCCGGCGGCTGGCTGGCTCCTCTGCTCGGCGTCGGGGGAGGACAACAGGGAGGAGGAAGGGGGGCTCTCGGTGGAGGAGGACGTCGAAGGGGCCGGGGCCGTCACCGTGGAGGAAGAGCCGGAGGAGGAGGAGGAGGA